ATTTTCGCTCCCGGATTCATGGGATCAACCCCCAAGATATCTAGGATCTGCTGACCCATGGAGGAGAATTGTCGAATCATGTTTCGGAGAAGTGGCTCGATCTTGAAACATCGTGGCATCTCAATCCATGCGCGGGCTTGGAAGTAGCCGCCGGTGACGGCCGAGCTTTGATATACCATCTTTGCCAGAGTCGTCTTGCCCAATCCACCAATGCCGACGATAGAAATTACCTTGAGTTGGGGATCGTTCTCCTCCATTAGCCGCCCAACAATATCACGCTTGTAATGATCCATGCCCATGGGTCCAACTTCCTTCACAAAAGAAGCACAACGTCGAAGAAGGCCAGAAGAGCTGGAGGCACTACTTGAGCTGAAACTTCTTGCGCCTCCCGGAGAAGGGCCAATTCCGAGGGCGTAGCGTGCACGCCTCTCGCTCACATCGCGAGCGCGGAGCTTTAGCTTGCGCAGGTCAGTTGCGATAGAGTGACGTGCTTCGAGTGTCCTCAGCAGGCGAACAGTACGGAGGAGCACGCCTGCCAGTGGATGCTGGTGGCGAGACCTCCGGAGACGATGTCGGAACACGTCAACGCAATCCTCGGCATCGTAAGCCAAATCTCTAACTTGATCCATCCATGTTTTCACTTGCTTGTTATGATCCAACGAGGAAGACAGGACGGCCAGGAAGGAGTCCATGCTCTTGAGCTCTTCCATTATGTACTGTATGTCATCTTCGACGCCTGCAAGCAATCCTGCTTCTTCTGCCAGGATGTTTCCTAGCTTCCCTAAGAGGGACGTAGTGACGCCCTCCGCGAACCCCATAGCAAAGGCTTCCATCCGATCGATCTTTACTCGGTGTTAGGAAAATGGTGGACAAAGTGTTTATGCAGAATGTGTGTGTTGTACCGGCTGATTTAAAGCAGTTGGCGGAGGGCCGGGATGGAGATGGGGTTTTCCTTCACCTAACACTTGTTTTCTTAATCAAATAGTTGTGGAAGTGTAAGTCATCCAATACATTGGATCATCTGATGCACGCTGGTTTAATATATGTTTCTTTTATCTGTCATTCAAACTGAAAGGAAAACAAGTAAAATATACTTGAATGACTAATTTTTCTATCCTATTAATGTTTTAGAAGACATGATGTCGCTATACCATTACAATCGACCCACCATGCCACATCGAGAGATTTAATTTAATTTGGAAAGTCTTCATAATGGATGAACAATCATTGATTTCACACTAGTATGTCTGGTAATTAATTGGGGAAACTTGGTGCACTAGAATACAGCAAGTTTAGCCATTTCAATTAGATGGTTACATTTAGAAAAAAAAAAAAAACTGGAAGAAAAGTCTCACAGACAACTGTTCCTGAAAGGTTGTTTTGTGCCCAACTCTTTCTGGATTTTCGTTAAACTGATTTAGTCATTTGAATTAGATCGATAGAATCAACAAATAATTCAACCATGCATGTCTTTATATGATATTCAAGTCATGCAAGTTGGTTGAATATTTCAATAACATGCCACTCGATATTTCAATAACATGATGTTTTCTATTTAATTTTGCCTGAATAATTGACGTGGTAGCACAATAATTGTACCATATTTTTTCGGATAAAAATTTAAAGTTCTATACCTTCTTCTTTAATATTAAAATATCGGAGGTGGAAAATAATTTTTAAATCGTAATTTATTTATTAATTTTATCTTTCGTTAAAAGTTGAAACATAAAAAAAGAACCCTCTTTTTTCAGTGATCTAAACTTCTCTTCCCCATAAATTCATGAAACTTTTAAGGATTACTTAAACTTGTAGTCTTATATAATCCCCACAGCGAAAAAAAAAAAAGTGTAATTATCTTATCATTTTCTCAGATCAAAAATAGAAAATGAAGATCTTTGCAACTAACTTATGATAACTCAATAATGGTCTGAATAATTTTTTCCTCTCGTTGATCTTTTGTGTAGGATAATATTTGTAGTTAAATGAATCAAGCATGTTATTATTACTATTAGAAATCACAGTTTTCTATACTTTCTATCCACTTCCTATGCACGTCTTCTAATCATTTTCTTTCGACTCGTCTTAAATGATTGCCATTATATTATCTTCCAGAGAATTTATACTTAGTTGAAACATCGCCTAATCAGATCTTTTAGTTTGCTTTAGGTCATGGGATTCTATGAAAGTCTTCGTCTTCTGCTGTAACTGTGTTTTCAACTTAATCAGGGCACTTTAGTTTAAAGTTAATATATTGCGCTCACTGATGAGAAAGAATACTCATTGATAGGGGTAAAAACAAATAGGGCGCAACATATCGGATTTGACGTAACACCGCCCGCTGTCAGCCTCGACCGGACGGCACACTGCTCCAACAGACGAACATTAATGCCAGCGTGACGCGCACCCCCGCTAGCCATACCCAGACCACGCACGCCCGGACGAGGCAGGGGAAGGCGTCGACCAAGGCTCGCCATACCCTGCGGCGACTCGACTCGACTGTCCACGCAACGACCACTTCGACAACGGACGGGGTCAGGTGCACGGCCCTGCCCCGGCAAGATGGCGCGTCAGGTAACATCGAACTCACCTATAAGTACCCTCGGGCTTCAAGCGGGCAAGAAGGGCAGACAAGCACACGACTTTCCCCAAAAACTCCCCTCCACACCACTAACTTGACCGTTGGAGGGGTCGGGCCGAATCACCGACCCGACCTTTGTGCAGGTACTCGGTTGAAGCCGACCCAACCCGGCGACGCGGAGCATCCCAGCCTTATTCCCCGTGATCGGCCGCCCCGAGATCCCGAGTCTTGCAGTCTCTCCTGATCCTAGTCGTTCGGACCCCTGAACCAGCCGCGTCGGCCCCCAGGTCACGGCTAAAAAAGTTACTTACTGTAACAGATTGGCGCTAGAATGAGGGCCTCCGAATGTCAAACGATCAGCGAATCCACTTTGGCGAGCCCCCGGCCGTTGGGCTCCCCGCCCCGGGGGAACACCCCCCGCACGATGAAGCCCGCGACGAACGCCCCGTAGCGGCGTCAGAACGTTACTGGCGATTGTTCAATGACCCAGGTTTGTCACCTCCCGACGGCGCCCCCACCGACCCGTCGCCAGTATCTCTAGAGGCCTTTCACGACCTCACTCACCAAGTCCGAGCCCTGACGAGCATGGTGCAGACCATCATCCCGATTATCTCACAGCGAACCCCTCCGCGCTTGGCTCACCCTTCACAGCAACAGGAAACCCTCGTCCGAGCTCACATGCCCCTCTCCGGGCTCCCTGGCTCACCCCAGAACCCGATGGCTCGGCCCGGGAGCCGGGAGGCGGAAGATACGACGAGCCGCCCAGAGCGCGAGGCTCCGTCCGCCGATTCTACAAATGCCCTACGAGCCCAACTGCGCCTCGTCAGTCAAAGACTTGACGAAGTACAACAGGAGGTTCGTAAGTCCAAGGGAGACCACGGAGTGGACAGACAGCAAGGATCCCCGTTCACCCCCGAGATCCAAGATCAGGCGATCCCGTCACACTTCCGCCTGCCCTCGCTGGACGCATATGACGGCGCCGCTGACCCAGCGGACCACGTGGCCACCTTTCA